TTTCTTTCTTGAACCCAGTGGAGACTGGCAGCATGGACAGGGGGTGAGTATTTCCTTCTGAGAGTTTTTCATTCATCCAGGTGATGATTTATCTAGTAGTAGTTGTCACATTCAACTGGACTTGTCCTGTAATGTTGGAGATGTTTCATAGCTTATCAAAGCCAATTCTTTAGTTTCGATGAGTGTCAGGAAAATACCCCAGAATTTATAGACCAACAGGTAGCACAAACACTTACCATAGAAAGGCATCAGTTACTAACTAAGAACAGGATAGAAGGTGTGAATATTGTGGAACCACCATGTTCTAGTTATATGTTCCCATCCTTGGTTTTAGGAAAACTTCATAAATGTTAACCCTTCAATTTACATGGCTAAAACTGTAAATTATTGTCACAACACTGGGGTAGAGATGTTTAAATGCCATTATTTGTGGAAGAGAGATTGAGTTGGAGGCCCCACCTCTATTCAATGATGATTGTTCTAGTTGACACCCATTGGAACTGAAGAAGTTGCTTGGATAAGCTACGAAATGTCTTTGGAATTACAGAACAAGACCTGTTGAATGTGACCGACTATTTCTAGATGTGGGTACAAATTACATGTTTTCAAGAGGGGCAGCTTGGAGGTTTTAGTGACATTAATGACTGGTAGCATTACTTTTTTGCAGGTATCTGTAAATACATGAAATGTGTTTTTGTCCAAAATTTCTTCATGGTCTACCTCAGGGGTCTCAAAACTCCAGCCTTACAGTGGTAGGGGTGATTCTGATGGGGACACTGATGTAAGTGAGGATTGTGATGGGGGCCATGATGTAAGGAGGGCTTTGATAGGGATCCTGATGTAAGGGGAAACTCTCTTGGAGACCCTGATGTAAGGTTGACTCTTATGGGGACACTGATATAAAGGGAAACTCTGATGGGGACCCTGATGTAAAGGGGATTGTGATGGGGACCTTGTTGTAAGGGGGGATCTGATGAGAAGGGGGACTGTGGTGGGGACCCTGTTGTAAGGGGGGTATGACGAGAATCCTATATATCCTAGAATATAAAGGGGGTTTGATAGGGACCCTGATGTAAGAGGGGACTCTGATGGGAGACCCTGATGTAAGGGGAGACTCTGATGGAGACCTGATGTAAGGTTGAGTCTTATAGGGACACTGATGTAAGGAGAAACTCTGATCGGGACCCTAACATAGATAGGATTGTGAGAGGACCCTGTTGTAAGTGGGGGTCTGATGAGAATCCTAATGTAAATAGGGGATATGCTGGGGACCCTGATGTAAGGGGAACTCTGATGGAGACCCTGATGTAAGGTTGACTCTTATGGGGACACTGATATAAAGGGAAACTCTGATGGGGACCCTGATGTAAAGGGGATTGTGATGGGGACCTTGTTGTAAGGGGGATCTGATGAGAAGGGGACTGACTGTGGTGGGGACCCTGTTGTAAGGGGGGTATGACGAGAATCCTATATATCCTAGAATATAAAGGGGGTTTGATAGGGACCTGATGTAAGAGGGGACTCTGATGGAGACCCTGATGTAAGGGGAGACTCTGATGGAGACCTGATGTAAGGTTGAGTCTTATAGGGACACTGATGTAAGGAGAAACTCTGATCGGGACCCTAACATATATAGGATTGTGAGAGGACCCTGTTGTAAGTGGGGGTCTGATGAGAATCCTAATGTAAATAGGGGATATGCTGGGGACCCTGATGTAAGGGGAACTCTGATGGAGACCCTGATGTAAGGTTGACTCTTATGGGGACACTGATATATAAAGGGAAACTCTGATGGGGACCCTGATGTAAAGGGGATTGTGATGGGGAGGACTTGTTGTAAGGGGGATCTGATGAGAAGGGGGACTGTGGTGGGGACCCTGTTGTAAGGGGGGTATGATGACGAGAAATCCTATATATATCCTAGAATATAAAGGGGGTTTTGATAGGGACCCTGATGTAAGAGGGGACTCTGATGGAGACCCTGATGTAAGGGAGACTCTGATGGAGACCTGATGTAAGGTTGAGTCTTATAGGGACACTGATGTAAGGAGAAACTCTGATCGGGACCCTAACATATATAGGATTGTGAGAGGACCCTGTTGTAAGTGGGGGGTCTGATGAGAATCCTAATGTAAATAGGGGGATATGCTGGGGACCCTGATGTAAGGGGAACTCTGATGGAGACCCTGATGTAAGGGGAGACTCTGACGGAAACCCCTGATGTAAGGGGAACACTTATGGGGACATTGATGTAACATGAAGCTTTGAGAGGGGGACCCTGATGCAAGAAGGACTGTGATGGGGACCCAGTTGTAAAGGGGGGGGGGGGGGTTGTGATGAGAATCCTAATGTAAAGGGGGGGTGATAGGGACCTTGATGTAAGAGGGAATGTGATGTAAGTAGGGACTCCAATGGGGGAGTCTTGTAACTAAAGTTCTTTCTTGATTGCTCTGAATCATTGTACCATGCTGATTCCAAAAACATATTGAAATAAAATACAATCATTTATTTATAAAGAAAAAAGCTGGATACCCCTGGTCTACATGAGCAGAAGTAGGCCTTGCCTTTGCCAAAAAAACATTTGTGCTAAAATGCATCCTTCTCCCCAATCTCTGAAGGTTGGGAGGTATGAACTGTACGATATGTCCCGATCCATTGCCTGCACTGACACTTACTGCTCCCGCTAGCTGGCCTCCCAGCTTGGATGGTGTTCAGAAGTCATTTGTGAACGTTGCACAAAGTTACGCAGTCTTGGGAAAGGCTTCTCCATCCAGGGCCTGAGCAGACAAAGCCTTAGCGTTCCCAAACTTTAGATGATCAGAGGCTCAGTAAGCAGAAATATAATGACAGCAAATCCAATATATTCATGACCATGTACCAAAATATGCTTTTCCCTTTGATGTATTGTGGGGTCATCAAAGAAGACCTCCATCAAGTACTCTTTATATGAGCAATGGTCAAAAACAACCCCAACGTAATTGTAGAAAAAAAAAGAAAAACATTGCTAATTGTTTTCCTTTTAAAGTTTATGCAGTAGTCACTTGTCCAGGCACGAAAATATGATGTCATGATGCAATGAGAGGTTTCCTTCCTCTGTATCTACAGGAGCCATGTTGCCAATATCTATGATATAATGGAGGAGGTCAACAGAGTCAGCTATGTGATGACTTGTCTGGGTCTAGGGTACTCAGTTTCCATGTTAGCTGCTCTCCCTTTAGCGAGAAAAGTGTTTGCATTTAGTTTAGTTTTAAAAGTTCGTAGCTTTAAAGTAGTGGTCCCCAAACTGCAGCCCAGGGGCCGGATACAGCCCTTTGCTTGCCTTTATCTGGCCCATAGGGTACTTTTCCTCCCACGGATGCAAGACACTATTCCTCCCACTGTCACCAATAATGGGGCATAATTCCTGTTACTGACATCATCAACGGGGCACTATTTCTCCATTGGCATTGGCACCAATGATGAGGGGCACTATTCCTTTCACTGACACCAACGATGGGGAACTATTCCTTTCACTGATACCAATGATGGGGCACTATTCTTCCACTGATACCAATGATGGGGCACTATTCCTCTCACTGATACCAATGATGGGGCACTATTCCTCCCATTATACTAATGATGGGGCACTATTCCTCTCACTGATACCAATGATGGGGCATAATTCCTAATACTGACATCATCAACGGGGCACTATTCCTCTCACTGATACCAATGATGGGGCACTATTCCTCCCACTGATACCAATGATGGGGCACTATTCCTCTCACTGATACCAATGATGGGGCACTATTCCTCCCACTGATACCAATGATGAAGCACTATTCCTCCCACTGATACCAATGATGAAGCACTATTCCTCTCACTGATACCAATGATGGGGCACTATTCCTCCCACTGATACCAATGATGGGGCACTATTCCTCCCACTGATACCAACAATGAGGCACTATTCTTCCCACTGATACCAATGATGGGGCACTATTCCTCCCACTGATACCAACAATGAGGCACTATTCTTCCTACTGATACCAATGATGGGGCACTATTCCTCCCACTGATACCAATGATGGGGCACTATTCCTCCCACTGATACCAATGATGGGGCACTATTCCTCCCACTGATACCAATGATGGGGCAGAATTCCTCCCACTGATACCAATGATGGGGCATTATTCCTCCCACTGATACCAATGATGGGGCACTATTCCTCCCACTGATACCAATGATGAGGCACTATTCCTCCCACTGATACCAATGATGAGGCACTATTCCTCCCACTGTACCAATGATGGGGCACTATTCCTCCTACCGATACCAATGATGGGGCACTATTCCTCCCACTGTACCAATGATGGGGGCACTATTCCTCCCACTGATACCAATGATGGGGCACGATTCCTCCCACTGATACCAATGATGGGGCACTATTCCTCCCACTGATACCAATGATGGGGCACTATTCCTCCCACTGTACCAATGATGGGGCACTATTCCTCCACTGATACCAATGATGGGGCACGATTCCTCCCACTGATACCAATGATGGGGCACTATTCCTCCCACTGACACCAATGATGGGGCACTATTCCTCCCACTGATACCAATGATGGGGCACTATTCCTCCCACTGATACTAATGATGGGGCACTATTCCTCCCACTGATACCAATGATGGGGCATTATTCCTCCCACTGACACCAATGATGGGGCACTATTCCTCCCACTGATACCAATGATGGGGCGCTATTCCTCCCCACTGACACCAATGATGGGGCGCTATTCCTCCCACTGACACCAATGATGAGGCACTATTCCTCCCACTGATATCAATGATGAGGCACTATTCCTCCCACTGATACCAATGATGGGGCACTATTCCTCCCACTGATACCAATGATGAGGCACTATTCCTCCCACTGATACCAATGATGGGGCACTATTCCTCCCACTGACACCAATGATGGGGCACTATTCCTCCCCCTGATACCAATGATGGGGCACTATTCCTCCCACTGATACCAATGATGGGGCACTATTCCTCCCACTGACACCAATGATGGGGCACTATTCCTCCCACTGATACCAATGATGAGGCACTATTCCTCCCACTGATACCAATGATGGGGCACTATTCCTCCCACTGATACCAATGATGGGGCACTATTCCCCCACTGATACCAATGATGGGGCACTATTCCTCCCACTGATACCAATGATGGGGCACTAGTCCTCCCTCTAATGTCAAAAATACACTATTTACTCTCACTGATGCCAGGACAATGTCTACTCCAATGGCCACAATCCAACCCCGCTAAATGCCTTTTGTTTAGAGGGTGTGGAGACCCCTACTTGAAAGGATTACTGCGTTGACCTGACCTAACCCACCCTCCCCCTCCACAGATACATAGTTACCGCTATCAGATGGCCACGTTTTTGCTGTTTGTTTACATTCAGTGGTGCAAGTCTTCATCATCATTGCCACCTCTGTGCATTACAGACCTTAGACTTCTGTAGGACCCGCTCAGACTTTTCCCGACATCGAGGGGCAGTCCTATAGAAGTCTATAGGACAGAACTGCAACAGGCCCAGCCAGGACAGTGTAGACTTGCACCAATGAATGTAAACCAACAACGGAACTATGGCCAATAGATAGAGGTAAGTAAGCCTTTGTAGGGGGGGAGGGTGTGGGTTAGGTCAGGAAAATAGGGGCAAACAATAAATGCAATTGTCCTAAAATAACATCCTGATTTTTGAGTTGTGCTTTCAAATGGAACCAATGACCATACTTTACCCACCCCCATGTATTTATAATAAATATATAAATGTTCCCTTTCATATTTCTATTTTAATTCTTCTCTAAGATATCAGTGATAATTCCTCCCAATATATAATATCTGCACTTTTTCTAATAAAAAATAATATAAACATTCAAAAATCCAGCTTTTTTTGTTTTTGTTTTGTAACCTCTGTCCTGGGTTTTATCACTGTAGCTTGGCTGAGATTCTTCATGTGGTGTCACCAGGACAGGAAGTGAGGTAAATCTCTCCAATTGGGCCACAAAGAGCATAAACCCTACTTTTTAGTAGGACAGGGAAGGGTTAGAACCTCTGTTTTGTTTTTGTTTTTTTTTTATATAGCTGTCTGGGTAATATTTCCCCTCAATTCCTGTCCTGACTCCAGAGGAGAAATCTTTCTAAATTGGCACAAACAGCAGAGTTTCAATTTAATACGTGGCATGGTATTAAATCTGAACTCTGGGCACAAAAACTTTATTTTTAATATGTCTCTCGATGCACAAAACATATAAAGATAAGAAAAACTTTGTGTGTATCAAATGCCTTTGTAGATATCACTGTGTAAAAGTAGCGGTGTCACTGGGCTGTACATAGCCTGTGCAGAGAGCAGAGCCATTGGAGGGATACAACAGGCCTATCCCCTACAGGCTGCCTGCAGAAAACTATAGGAGGGGGCGGAGACAAGACCAGTCACTCTGCACAAGGACAGGGAACGGCAATGACTGGTCTTTATTACAGAAAGTTCCAAAATCTCACACAAGATTACTACACAGATCTGGAAGAAATACACAAAGTACACCAAGATTCAAGGAAGAAGACACATGACTTTTGTATTCAGACAATGGGACTGATTTACTAAAACTGGAGAGTGAAAATTCTGGTGCAGCTGTGCATGGCAGCCAATCAGCTTCTACCTTCAATTTGTTCCATTAAGCTTACAAGAAACCTAGAAGTTGATTGGTTTCTATGCAGATCTGCACCAGGTTTTGCACTCTCCAATTTTAGTAAATCAACCCCAATATTTGTCTCATTCCAGAGTAATGGGGGCCATAGACGGGTAAATTTTGAGGATTGGCTGATTTTCCTGGCAATGATGGGCAAATCGGCCGATTGTTTTACTGATAAAAAATCTGCGCATGAGCCATGACCTGCAAGAAGAAGAAAAAGAAGAAGAAAGAAAAAAAAGAAGGAAAAAGAAGAAGAAAAAGAAAAAAGAAGAAAAAGCAGAAGAAGAAGGAGAAGAAGAAGTAGAAGAAGAGGAAGAAGAAGAAAAAATAATAATAAGAAGAAGAAAAATAAGAAGAATAAGAAGAAGAAAAGAAAAAAATAAGAAGAAGAAGAAGAAGAAGAAGAAGAAGAAGAAGAAAAAAAATAAGAAGAAGAAGAAAAGAAGAAAAAGAAGACGGAAAAGAAGAAGAAAAAGAAGAGGAAGAAGCAGAAGAAGAAGAAGAAAAGAAGAAGAAAAAGAAGAGAAGAAGAAGAAGGAAAAGAAAAAAGAATTCCAGTCTGCTATTATATTTTATATGAAAAGTCTTGCGGTTACAACAATGTATCCATTTGTATCCGAATAAAAACATCTGTATCTGAAATGGATACAAATGGATACAATGTTGCAACCGCAAGACTTTTCATATAAAATATAATAGCGAACTGGAATTCTTCTTCTTTTTCTTCTTATTCTTCTTATTCTTCTTCTCTTTTCTTCTTCTTTTTCTTCTTCTGTATTGCTCCCCTGTCTCTACAAGAGACAGAAGTAATTATGGGGTTAAATGCTGGCTATAGATGGGACGAAAATCGGCTGATTTGTTTACCGTTGGTGATAACGTCGGCCGATCGAACTACCGATTTTTCATTTTTAAACCCGTCTATGGCCTGCTTAAAGCTTTAAAAAAAAATGGATCTTTTCCACATGGCTCATATATTGTGCAGAGGCTTTATCTCCAAATCTCATAAACTCGCCCAAAGATGACTGATCATGGGCACAGACTCAATACCACCAGTAGAAGCAAAATTCTGGCCCATACAATTGATTCCTTTTTCCCCTTCTCAATTTTATTTTACTTGTTTCATACAAAAATATATATATATATAAAAAAAGTATCAATTTTCCAGTGTCCTACAAAATTCCTAGGACCGATGCTTTTCTGAATTTTGTAGCTCCTGTGTTCACCTCACAGTTCATCCCATTAGTAGATGCTAAAAGCAGCTGCAGCGTTGCAAGGAATCACATGATGTTTGAACACCATAATAAACCATAGACCAGCCCATGCTTTTGATCTTCATAGTGGCCTTGTGCAAGCAAGCCAAGCACCATGATTGATGACCTCTCTGGAACTCTTAGGTAGTTCTGCAAACCTTCCGGTTCCCTTCATATAATTGAAATTTGCCCTTGCCACCAGTAAGAGCAAGCTCTCGGCTCATACGACGGGTGAGTTTTGTGTACAGATGCTAAAAACAGTTGCCGAATTGCAAGGAATCGCATAATGTTTAAAACACCCTAGGCCATAGACCAGGCCATGCTTTTGATCCTGAATACTGGCCTTGTGCATGCAAGCCAAACACCTTGATTGATGATCTCAATGGAACTCTTAGGAGGTTCTGTAAATCTTCCAGTTCCCTTTATATACTGTAATTGAAATTTGCTCTTGCCACCAGTTAGAGCAAGCTTCCATTTTGTTTCTTCTCAAAACTATTTTACTTCTTTATACACAAAAAAAACTATTTCCAGTGTATTGCAATATTGCCAGGATGGGTGCTACTGAATTTTGTAGCTCCTGTGTACATCTTATAGTTTATCCGACTTATTGCATGAGAGCTAAAATCAGTTGAAGAGTTGCAAGAAATCACATAATGTGATGTGAAGAGGCCATGCCTTTGATCTTCATGGCAGCCTTGTGCAAGCAACCCAAGCACCATGAATGAGATTCTTCTAGGAGGTTCTGTAAACCTTCCAGGTTCCTTCATTTAATTGAAACTTGTTCTTGCCACCAGTAAGAGCAAGCTCCTAGCTCATACGTCTGAACCCCTTTCTCCTCAAAAACTACCGTATTTTAAATCATTTATAGAAAAAAAACCATAAATTTTAGATCATCCTATAAAATTTCCAAGACCAGTGCTACTAAATTTTGTAGCTCTTATGTGCACCTTACAGTTTATCCCTTTAGTGCATGGATGCTAAAATCAGTTGCAGAGTTGCAAGGAATCACATAATGTTTGTCCACCACAGAACATAGACCAGGCCGTGCCTTTGATCCTCATGGTAGCCTTGTGCCAGCAACCCAAGCACCATGAATGAGGACCTCATTGGAACTACTAAGAGGTTTTTCTAACCTTCGAGTTACCTTCAAATAACTGAAACTGGACTGTTTTTAATGTAGACATGGTAGGGGTCACTGCGTTTGTCCACATTCTTAGATCGTGTATATCCAAGTATTAGACTGCCTACAGTCACGGCAAAGAGGAACATGACGAAGATGATGAAGATATAGGCATTGTCGTCCTTGTTTGGTTTGGTGTTGTTGTGTTGTGTGTCTGGCTGGCACGGTGGATTGTTCAGTGTCTTGTTGATGGCCTGAAGCACGTGGTGAAGGTTTTCCAGGAGCCTTTCCATGGTAAAGTTCTTCTCCATGTCAAGTGGAATTAAACAGATGTAGAGTGGTTGCAATTCAATGTGTCCAGCAGAGCAGAACCTGGAGACAAAGTAAGTACGTTAGTGAATGACATACCGATGACAGGTTGTCACATGTATCTCATAACTCAGCTAATCTTCGCACAAGAAGCAAGTTGCGCTTGTTTTTGTAATGACCACTGTTACCAGGTCAAAAACATTTGACAAATCCTGTCCTGAAACAGTATGTGGAGGGAAATCTAATGGGAACACCTGTTCTTGTGATGTAGTGGAGTTCCTCTTTACCCAACCTGTCCAGTTGGTGTAAACCCCTTTAGTTCCAGTGGGCTCCCACAATCCTCAAGACTTCTGGGCAAACCCAGGTAATATAAGATCCACTGTTCCCCAACTTCAGGTTTGTTCCTGATGGGACAACATTGACTGAGCCTCGTATGCAGGCAACTGCATGAGAGTGCAAGAGCATGCTTTCTAGAGAGTATGCTAGCTAGCCCCAGAACATTGAGTTTCCAGTAGGGTGGCCCTGTATCTTCAGCCACCTGCTTGTACAACCATCCCTGGGTTTTCTGCTGAACATCTAGAATATAGACTGCTTCCATGTTACCTCTGTGGAGTCTATCTGGAGAACCTTTTGTTTGACCACCTGGGCTACCAGCTACAGTCAGTCTTCTTGTAAGAGAGATGCTTAACCCCACCATGGAACCACAAATAACTGTATTAGCAGTAGACTGAACTGAACTGTGTTGTTTATTGCTTAGTAATTCATATACTCTGTTCTCCAAAAATACTAAGTAAAGTGTCAATTTTTATTGATCTTCACACTTTTGAGGAGTCAGACTGTGGCCAATGGAAGTAAAAAATGCCCCAGCATTAGTGGAGTTAAACAATTCCTCAGACTTGGGTTGTCAGTGGGAGTAAAAAAAACTACAAATTGCCTGTGGTTAGTAGGTGAGGAATAACGCCCCACCATTGATTTTAGTGGGAGGAAAATTGCCCAATCATTGGCATCAGTAAAAGAAAGAGTGCCCCATTATTTGTGTCAGTTGGAGAAATAGTGCCCCAATGTAGTGTAGTGGCCCCATCAGTTGGCCCTTAGATAGCTAGGGAGAGTTAGTTGCTAATTTTTAGATAGAGAGGCTGAGTGAGTAGGAGCCTTGGAAAATAGTCAGAGGGGTCAACTTTGGATCAGAGATTAGAGGCCCTGCAGATCAGTCCCTTGATACCTTCCCCTGCTCTAGAACTTTGGAGAAGATTCTAGAAGCAGTGGGCAGGGGTGAGGAGGGGCTGGTCTGCATACTCAAGTGTCTCTGGCCAATCCTCAAGCAGGAAGTTTGGCATGGGTTCAGGACAGCCGTTAAGTAAGACTGAGCCTGCTCAGCAGCAAGAGAGTTTGGGTGGAAGATGTGAGAGAAGAAAAATGCAGGAGCCTGGGAGGGGGCCCAGTGGGAAGGAGCCTACCTACAAGCTGGGACGTGGACAGGAGGATCACTCAGCCTCACTAGTCCTCTGAGGGAGCATAATGGATCGGAGTTCGATCCATTATGCTCGATAATCCGCAGATCCGATTCATTTTGTGGGGATTGTCGGCTTGCTTTAAAACTTACCTTTTCGTGGAGCTGGCCCACTTAGATTGTAAGCTCCCAGGATCAGGGCCCTCCTATCCCTCTTGTATTGAACTGTATTGTTGCTGTATTGTCTCCCGTTATATTGTAAAGCGCTGAGCAAACTGTTGGTGCTATATAAATCCTGTATAATAACAATAATAATACAGTTGGTTTCATTGGAAGAAACTGTGCCCTATCATTGGTGTCAGTGGGAGGAATTATGCCCCACTACTGGTGTCAGTGGAAGGAATGGTGCCTCAAAGTTGTTGACAGTGGGAGGGATAGTGCCTCACAACAGTGGTAAGAATAGTGACCCAAGGGCCGAATAAAGGCAAGCAAAGGGCCACATCCGGCCAGCGGGCCACAGTTTGGCGACCACTGACTTAAATAACTTAAATAATAAAAAAGCCTGGGGCTGAGCCACATTTTTACTGCCCCTCCCCCAAACCACTCCCCTTTAAGTTACAAAGGCAGCAGCATGGGGTGTACACTAAGGTTGATACCAGCCCTAGGATTGATACTTACCTCCCCTCAGGGGTGTCCCTAGGGTTGGTGTCACCCCTCCGACGATCCCCGCACGATGGATCGGATATGCGGATTGAGCATAATGGATCGGAGTCCGATCCATTATGCCTCCCAATCTGCAGATTCGATCCATCCTGCAGGGATCATTGGCTTGCAACCTATATGGGGTTAACTGATCTCTCCACAAGTTCCACGAAATGGTAAGTTTTAAAGCAAGCTGACGATCCCCGTAAAATGGATCGGACCTGCGGATTGGGGAGCATAATGGATCGGACCTGCGAATTGGGGAGGATAATGGATCGGACCTGCGGATTGGGGAGCATAATGGATCGGACCTGCGGATTGGGGAGGATAATGGATTGGACTCACATCCATTATGCTCAATCCACAGATCCGATCCATGCTGCGGGGATCGTCGGCTTGTGCAGCAACACTTGGTGTCACCCCTCCGACGATCCCCGCAGCATTGATCAAATCCGCGGATTGAGCATAATGGATCTGAGTCCGATCCATTATGCTCCCCAATCTGCAGATCTGATCCATTCTGCGGGGATCGTCGGCTTGCAAACTATACGGGGTTAACTGATCTCTCCACGAAATGGTAAGTTTTAAAGCAATCCGACGATCCCCGCAGGATGGATCGGATCTGCAGATTGGGGAGCATGGTGGATCAGACTCAGATCCTTTCTGCTCATTCCGCAGATTTGATCCATGCTGCGGGGATCATCGGCTTGCTTTAAAACTTACCTTTTCATGGAGCGGGTCTGGTGTCACCCCGTGCGATAGGTGTCACCCAGTACGGCGTGCACCCCCCGCACCTGCCTAGACGCCACTGCCTCCCCTCTAAAGATCTGACGTCCACAAGGTCCCTCATCAGCGCCAGCATCCTCTTCCTGGCCCTGTCTGGGCGCTGGTTTCCAGCCGTCTTGATTGGCCAGCATGGGATGACGGGAATGTACCCGTAGCTATTCATGCGCCATTCACTGTACATTTTATTCAAGGCTGTGAACAGGCAGGTAGATTGTTGTATTGTAGAAGAGACAGAGCAAGTCTCCTGTGCAACAAAGATCCTGCCTGATCACAATTTTTTTGGAGGTTTAGTTTCACTTTAAAACAGTCTCCATCGCAGGGTGACAACACAGGAGCACAGTTGCGAGGTAGGGACATAGCGTTGTCACCACATAAAAGGAAGTGCCTGAACCAGGACCTACATGGCAGGATCGCCAGGATTTTTTTGTTTATGAAAGTTGCAATTTTTTTAAATATTGAAAATTACTTTTCAAACAATATTATTTGTTAGATATGAACTTCCCTTCAGTTTTGCACCATTATATCGTCTCCTTTCCTGGACTGAAATGTCTTCTCAATTCTCAGCACACTGTGAGCCTTTCCTTCACAATGAGCAAAGCAGGTATTCAGATTTCACTCGTGCTGGTTACATTGTTCCCAGCTCTGACTTTGTGTACTCCAGAACACCTTCCCCTTATGTTATGGGGGAGGAGTTCTGTAGTCCTAACCGGTCCCGTGAAGGGGTGGACTTCTGCACGACCAGTCCTAAGTGTTGGAGAGGTTGGGGACTGCTGCTCTGTCTGCTTTCAGAAAATATTTAATGTTTGGGGGTCACAGAACTTGTGAGGACAAGCGCCTGGAACGTGGTCAAGGCCACCAGGGTTCACCAATAGGTACAGATGCCGGAGACAAGACTGTGAACAGGAGCCAGGCCTAGGGCAGTGTCAGACAAGCGGGAAGAAGCCAGAAAAGTAAGTAGAAGGCGGAGTCAAGTAACAAGCCAGGGGTCAGGTGCCGGTAGCAAGCAGGGCCTGGTCATCACACTCAGCAACGATCTAGAGCCTTGCAGTGCTTTAAATAGACCACTAGGTGCCAAATTCAGATCAGATGTGCACGCTCATTCTCATGTGCCTAGTCCTGAGTCTGTGCACAGGCCTATGGATAGTACCGTGTGTGCATGCACAGTTTTTTAGGCATGAGCATTTTTCCAACAATTTTCTATGATCGTTAGCGCCATCTAGTGGTCATAATGTGGTATTTTCCTGATTGCTGTATTTTAGCTCCATCTAGTGGTCATAATGGGGTATTTTCCTGATTGCTGTATTTTAGCTCCATCTAGTGGGCATAATGATTTCTGTATTTTAGCTCCATCTAGTGGTCACAATGCGGTATTTTCCTGATTTCTGTATTTTAGCTCCCTCTAGTGGTCATAATGTGGTATTTTCCTGATTTCTGTATTTTAGCTCCATCTAGTGGTCACAATGCAGTATTTTTCTGATTTCTGTATTTTAGCTCCATCTAGTGGTCACAATGCGGTATTTTCCTGATTTCTGTATTTTAGCTCCATCTAGTGGTCACAATGCGGTATTTTCCTGATTTCTGTGTTTTAGCTCCATCTAATGGTCATAATGTGGTATTTTCCTGATTTCTGTATTTTAGCTCCATCTAGTGGGCATAATGATTTCTGTATTTTAGCTCCATCTAGTGGTCACAATGCGGTATTTTCCTGATGTAAGCTCCAAAGAGCAGGGCCCTCGATCCCCTCATGTTTTGCATTGTATTGGTATTGTTCTGTCACATGTTCTGTCCCCCTTTGTAATGTAAAGCGCTGAGCGAACTATTGGCGCTTTATAAGTGCTGTATAATAATAATTATAATAATAATTTCTGTATTTTAGCTCCATCTAGTGGTCACAATGCGGTATTTTCCAGATTGCTGTGTTTTAGCTCCATCTAGTGGGCATAATGTGGTAGTTTCCTAAAAGCTGTTTTTCACTACTTGCCTGCTGGGCACTTTCACCCCCTTCGTGTCCAGGCCAATTTTCAGCTTTCAGTGCTGTTGCACTTTGAATGACAATTGCGCGGTCATGCAACACTGTACCTATATGGAATCTTTATAATGTTTTTCACACAAAAAGAGCTTTCTTTTGGTGGTATTTAATCACCTCTGGGGGGCTTCCTAAGCAAACAAAAAAATAGACTGACATTTTAAAAAAAATAAAAAACCTTTTTTTGTTGTTTCTGTTACATAATTTTGCAAATAAGTAATTTTTCTTCTTCACTGATGGACACCGATGAGGCTGCTCTAATGGACACTGATACGCTGCACTGATGGGCACTGATGAGGCTGCACTGATGAGCACTGATGAGGCTGAACTGATTGGCACTGATGAGGCTGAACTGATGGGCACTGATGAGGCTGCACTGATGGGCACTTATATGTGGCACTCCTTTCTACTCCTCACCTCACCCCTTCAGTCTCCTCCTCACCTCACCCCTTCAGTCTCCTCCTCACCTCACCCCTTCAGTCTCCTCCTCACCTCACCCCTTCAGTCTACTCCTCACCTCACCCCTTCAGTCTCCTCCTCACCTCACACCTTCAGTCTCCTCCTCACCTCACCCCTTCAGTCTACTCCTCACCTCACACCTTCAGTCTCCTCCTCACCTCACCCCTTCAGTCTACTCCTCACCTCACCCCTTCAGTCTCCTCCTCACCTCACCCCTTCAGTCTCCTCCTCACCTCACCCCTTCAGTCTCCTCCTCACCTCACCCCTTCAGTCTACTCCTCACCTCACCCCTTCAGTCTCTCCTCACCTCACCCCTTCAGTCTCCTCCTCACCTCACCCCTTCAGTCTCCTCCTCACCTCACCCCTTCAGTCTACTCCTCACCTCACCCCTTCAGTCTCTCCTCACCTCACCCCTTCAGTCTCCTCCTCACCTCACCCCTTCAGTCTCCTCCTCACCTCACCCCTTCAGTCTCCTCCTCACCTCACCCCTTCAGTCTCCTCTCGCATTACTAACCTACTAAGTGACATATTGGCATGGATGTCACTCCACTTCCTCAAACTCAATCTTTACAAAACTGAGCTCTTAGTATTCCCTCCAGCCCGTGCCCCCCCCCCCCCCCCCCCCGACTTCTCCATCAAGACCAATAACACATCAATCCCTCCCCTCATGCCAGGGTACTAGGTGTAATCCTAGACTCCCATCTGTCCTTTCACCCCCAAATCCAATCACTGTCCAAATCATGTAGACTCCACCTCCGCAACATCTCCAAGATATACCCGTTCCTAACCTCGGAAACCACTAAGCAACTCATTCACTCCCTTGTTATATCTCGCCTTGACTATTGTAACTCCCTCCTCATTGGCCGACCTCATCGCAGGCTATCCCCTCTTCAGTCTATTTTGAATGCTGCTGCCAGACTCATCCACCTTACTAACCGTTCTGTATCTGCCATCCCCCTCTCTGCCAATCCCACTCTCCACTGGTCTCCACTCAGTGTCCTCCACCCCTCTCTGCCAATCCCTCCACTGGCCTCCACTCAGTGTCCTCCACCCCTCTCTGCCAATCCCTCCACTGGCCTCCACTCAGTGTCCTCCACCCCTCTCTGCCAATCCCTCCACTGGCCTCCACTCAGTGTCCTCCACCCCTCTCTGCCAATCCCTCCACTGGCCTCCACTCAGTGTCCTCCATCCCTCTCTGCCAATCCCTCCACTGGCCTCCACTCAGTGTCCTCCATCCCTCTCTGCCAATCCCCACTCCACTGTCCTCCACTCAGTGTCCACTGCCACCCCTCTCTGCCAATCCCTCCACTGGCCTTCACTCAGTGTCCTCCACCCCTCTCTGCCAATCCCTCCACTGTCCTCCACTCAGTGTCTGCCACCCCTCTCTGCCAATCTCTCCACTGGCCTCCACTCAGTGTCCTCCCACTCCACTCTGCCAATCCCTCCACTGGCCTCCACTCAGTGTCCTCCATCCACTCACTCTGCCAATCCCTCCACTGGCCTCCACTCAGTGTCCTCCACCCCTCTCTGCCAATCCCTCCACTGGCCTCCACTCAGTGTCCTCCAACAATCCCTCCACTGGCCTCCACTCCATATAAAATCCCTCTCTCCAATCCCTCCACTGCATTAACTCCATATAAAATAATTTATAAACTCCGCCCCCAAATTACATCACCGATCTTGTCTCCAAATATCAACCAAACCGTCCTCTCCACTTCTCCCACCATCTCCTGGTCTCTAGCTCCCTTTGTCTCCCCCCCCTGCTGATCTACAGAACTTCTCTCCAGAGCCTCTCCCATCCTCTGGAACTCTCTACCCCAATCTATCAGGCTATCGCCTACTCTGCTCATTTTTAGGCGATCTCTGAAAACCTATCTCTTCAGGGAAGCCTCTCCTGCCTCCAGCTAATAATGGAATCTTCTATCTCCTACCAGTCCATCCCCCACAGTTATTACCTCTTGTACCACTAGCCCCTCCCTCCCTCCTAGATTGTAAGCTCCAAGGATCAGGGCCCTCCTAACCCTCTTGTATTGAACTGTATTGTTGCTGTATTGTCTCCCGTTATATTGTAAAATGCGCTGAGCAAACTGTTGGCGCTATATAAATCCTGTATAATAATAATATAACAAATGTTACATAATATCTCTCTATCTCCAATCTGAACAATGTTTGCAAACGAAGTTACTTTACATCTCTTTATGTTTTGTGAGAACAATGTTTATAAACACTGTGTCAGACGGTTTGTTTTCTTGACAGCAGCAGCTTCTACAGCTCCTGCAATCACACAGCAGCTCCTGGCTGTAATTTTGACAACTGGAAATTGTATCCCTCGACTCATCTCCTATCCCTTACCCCTGATAATGTCCCTGGACTCATCTCCTATCCCTTACCCCTGATAATGTCCCTGGACTCATCTCCTATCCCCTACCCCTGATAATGTCCCTGGACTCATCTTCTCTATCCCTTACCCCTGATAATGTCCCTGGACTCATCTTCTATCCCTTACCCCTGATAGTGTCCCTGGACTCATCCTCCTATCCCTTACCCCTGATAATGTCCCTGGACTCATCTCCTATCCCTTACCCCCTGATAATGTCCTGGACTCACCTCCTATCCCTTACCCCTGATAGTGTCCCTGGACTCATCATCTTCTATCCCTTACCCTTGATAATGTCCCTGGACTCATCTCCTAATCCCTTACCCCTGATAATGTCCCTGGACTCATCTTCTATCCCTTACCCCTGATAGTGTCCCTGGACTCATCTCCTATCCCTTACCCCTGATAATGTCCTGGACTCATCTCCTATCCCTTACCCCCGATAATGTCCCTGGACTCATCTTCTATCCCTTACCCCTGATAGTGTCCCTGGACTCACCTCCTATCCCTTACCCTGATAATGTCCCTGGACTAATCTCCTATCCCTTACCCCTGATAATGTCCCTGGACTCATCTCCTATCCCTTACCCCTGATAATGTCCCTGGACTCATCTCCTATCCCTTACCCCTGATAATGTCCCTGGACTCATCTCCTGTCCCTTACCCCCGATAATGTCCCTGGACTCATCTCCTGTCCCTTACCCCTGATAATGTCCCTGGACTCATCTCCTATCCCCTACCCCTGATAATGTCCCTGGACTCATCTCCTGTCCCTTACCCCTGATAATGTCCCTGGACTCATCTCCTATCCCTTACCCCTGATAATGTCCCTGGACTCATCTCCTGTCCCTTACCCCTGATAATGTCCCTGGACTCATCTCATATCCCTTACCCCCTGATAATGTCCCTGGACTCATCTCCTATCCCTTACCCCTGATAATGTCCCTGGACTAATCTCCTATCCCTTACCCCTGATAATGTCCCTGGACTCATCTCCTGTCCCTTACCCCTGATAATGTCCCTGGACTCATCTCCTATCCCTTACCCCTGATAATGTCCCTGGACTCATCTCCTGTCCTTACCCCTGATAATGTCCCTGGACTCACCTCCTATCCCTTACCCCCCTTTACCCCCTGAATGTCCCTGGACTCATCTACTATCCCTTACCCCCGATAGTGTCCCTGGACTCATCTCCTGTCCCTTACCCCTGATAATGTCCCTGGACTCATCTCCTATCCCTTACCCCCGATAATGTCCCTGGACTCATCTCCTATCCCTTACCCCTGATAATGTCCCTGGACTCATCTCCTGTCCCTTACCCCCGATAATGTCCCTGGACTCATCTCCTATCCCTTACCCCCGATAATGTCCCTGGACTCATCTCCTATCCCTTACCCCTGATACTGTCCCTGGACTCATCTCCTGTCCCTTACCCCCGATAATGTCCCTGGACCATCTCCTATCCCTTACCCCTGATAGTGTCCCTGGACTCATCTCATATCCCTTACCCCTGATAATGTCCCTGGACTCATCTCCTATCCCTTACCCCCGATAATGTCCCTGGACTCATCTCCTATCCCTTACCCCCGATAATGTCCCTGGACTCATCTCCTATCCCTTACCCCTGATAATGTCCCTGGACTCATCTCCTATCCCTTACCCCCCCGATAATGTCCCTGGACTCATCTCCTATCCCTTACCCCCCGATAATGTCCCTGGACTCATCTCCTGTCCCTTACCCCTGATAATGTCCCTGGACTCATCTCCTATCCCTTACCCCTGATAGTCTCCCTGGACTCATCTCCTATCCCTTACCCCCCGATAATGTCCTTGGACTATTCATTTCTCATTTGCTCTGGCAAAGCTAAAATGTATTTTGTTCTGCTATAAAGGTTTATTTGAGTAAAATCTGAACGTAGAGAGAGAACGTAATAATGAAGTCGTAGTTATCCGCACATATTCCAGACAAGGAGAGTCTCTGCTCTACCATCCAGTGAACTCCCATACACCTCCGATCCAAATAATTCCAAAAGAAGGAATGAGCCACACCTATCCTCACTTTTTCTTTTGGTTTCCTTCATTCTGATCTTTCTGGTAATTCATTTAATATCTTTTATTTCAATGAAAGGAATTTAAAGATGAGCATGAATGCCTGAGCTACAACACTTCCTTTGGATATATATATCCTCAGAGAGAGAGAAGAGATACAGGGCGGGGAGAGAGAGGGGTAGCTAGAGAGAAACTGGGAGCTATGGGAGGAAAAAGAGAGAGAATGGAGGGCTAGGAGATAGAAGAGAGAGAATGGGAGGGCTAGGAGATAGAAGAGAGAGAATGGAGGGCTAGGAATAGAAGAGAGAGAGAGAATGGAGGGCTAGGAGATAGAGAGAGAATGGAGGGCTAGGAGATAGAAGAGAGAGAGAGAGAGAATGGAGGGCTGGAGATAGAAGAGAGAGAGAGAGAATGGAGGGCTAGGAGATAGAAGAGAGAGAATGGAGGGCTAGGAGATAGAAGAAAGAGAGAGAAAGAGGGAGAGAGATCCAAGAGCTATGAGAGACAGCGAGAATGGAGAGCTAGGGGAGATAGAAGAGAGAGAGAGAATGGAGGGCTAGGAGATAGAAGAGAGAGAATGGAGGGCTAGGAGATAGAAGAGAGAGAGAATGGAGGGCTAGGAGATAGAAGAGAGAGAGAGAGAGAATGGAGGGCTAGGAGATAGAAGAGAGAGAATGGAGGGCTAGGAGATAGAAGAGAGAGAGAGAAAGAGGGAGAGAGATCCAAGAGCTATGAGAGACAGCGAGAATGGAGAGCTAGGGGAGAGAGGAGAGAGAGAGGATGGAGGGCTAGGAGATAGAAGAGAGAGAGAGAGAATGGAGGTCTAGGAGATAGAAGAGAGAGAGAAAGAGGGAGAGAGATCCAAGAGCTATGGGAGAGAGTGAGAATGCAGAGCTAGGGGAGAGAGGAGAGAAAGAGGGGGCGAGATCCAAGAGCTAGGGGAGAGAGCGAGAATGGAGAGCTAGGGGAGAGAGAGTAGAGAGAGAATGAAGGGTTAGGGGAGAGAGGAGAGAGAGGCAGAGGGAGAAAGATCCAAGAGCTAGGAGAGAGAGAGAGAAGGAGAGAAAGAATGTAGAGCTAGGGGAGAGAGGAGAGAAAGGCAGAGGGAGAAAAATCCAATAGCTAGGAAAGAGAGAGGGAGAAAAAGAGAGAATGGAGAACTATGGGAGAGAGAGAAAGAAAGAGGAAGCGAGATCCAAGAGCTAGGGGAAAGAAAGAGGGAGAGAGTAAGAGAGATCCCTGAGCTATGAGAGAAAGGGTGAGAGAGATCCCAGAGCTAGGAGAGAGAGCGAGAGAGAGAGAGAGAGAGAGAGAGAGAGAGAGTGTAAAGAAAGATGGAGAGAATGAGAGAGAGAGAGAGAGAGAGAGAGTGGAGAGCTAGGAGAGACAGGGGAGAGAGAGGAAAAAGAGGGAGAGAAAGAGGGAGAGATCCAAGGACTGAGAGAGAGTGAATAGAGAGCTAGCAGAGAGAGGAGATAGAGAGAAGAGAAAGAGAGAGGGAGAGAGATCCAAGAGCTAGGAGAGAGTGAGAGAGATCCAAGAGCTAGGAAAGAGAGCGAGAGAGAGAATGGAAAGAGAGAGAATGGAGTGTTAGTGGACAGAGATGAGAGAGAGGAGAAAGAGGGATAGAAAGAGAGAAATCCAAGCTAGGAGAGAGAGAGAGAGAGAGAATAGAGAGCTAGCAGAGAGAGGAGAAGAGAGGAGAGGAGAGGAGAGAGGCATAGAGATCCAAGAGCTAGGAGAGAGAAGGAATAGAGAGCTAGGGGAGAGAGAGGAGAGAAAGAGAGACAGAGATCAAAGAGCTAGGAGAGAGAGAAGAGAGAGAGAGATAATAGAGAGCTAGGGGAGAGAGGGGAGAGAAAGAGAGCAATCCAAGATTTAGGGGAAAGAAGAGAGAACAAGAAAGAGAGAGATCCTAGAGCTAGCGGGGAGATAAGAGAGAGAGAATGGAGAGCTAGGGGAAAAGCTGAGAGAGAGGAGAGAAAGAGAGGGATCCAAGAGCTAGGAGAGAGAGAGAGTATGGAGAACTAGGGAAGAGAGGAAAGAGAGGGAGAGAAGATAGAGAGATCCAAGAGCTAGGATAGAGGAAATGGAGAGCCAGGGGAGAGAGGAGAGAGAG